AGAGAGACCAGAGAGAGACCAGAGGGAGACCAGAGGGAGACCAGAGGGAGACCAGAGGGAGACCAGAGGGAGACCAGAGAGAGAGACCAGAGAGAGACCAGAGAGAGAGACCAGAGAGAGACCAGAGGGAGACCAGAGAGAGAGACCAGAGAGAGACCAGAGAGAGACCAGAGGGAGACCAGAGGGAGACCAGAGGGAGACCAGAGGGAGACCAGAGGGAGACCAGAGAGAGAGAGAGACCAGAGAGAGACCAGAGAGAGAGACCAGAGAGAGAGAGAGACCAGAGAGAGACCAGAGAGAGACCAGAGAGAGACCAGAGAGAGACCAGAGAGAGACCAGAGAGACCAGAGAGAGACCAGAGAGAGACCAGAGAGAGACCAGAGGGAGACCAGAGGGAGACCAGAGGGAGACCAGAGAGAGACCAGAGAGAGACCAGAGAGACCAGAGAGAGACCAGAGAGAGACCAGAGAGAGACCAGAGAGACCAGAGAGAGACCAGAGAGACCAGAGAGAGACCAGAGAGAGACCAGAGGGAGACCAGAGGGAGACCAGAGAGAGACCAGAGAGAGACCAGAGAGACCAGAGAGAGACCAGAGAGAGACCAGAGAGAGACCAGAGGGAGAGACCAGAGAGAGACTGAGGCTGTAGATCTAGGACTGAGGCTGTAAGGCAAGGCAAGTTTATTTATATAGCACAATTCATACACAAGGCAACTCAAAGTGCTGAACAAAACAAGAAAGCATCAAAATCATAAATAATCACAGAACATTAAAAAGAAAGATAAAAATATAAAATCCCTCAGTTGTAGCACAGTTAAACAGAACTGTTTTTAACCTGGTTTTAAACATTGTCAGAGAGGAGGCCTGTCTCACATCTTCAGGAAGATTGCAGATTTTAGCATGAATCTGAAAAGCAGAGAAGAGAGAGAGGAGAGAGAGGAGAGGGAGGAGAGAGAGGAGAGGGAGGAGAGAGAGGAGAGGGAGGAGAGAGAGGAGAGAGAGGAGAGAGAGGAGAGAGAGGAGAGGGAGGAGAGAGAGGAGAGAGAGGAGAGAGAGGAGAGAGAGGAGAGGGAGGAGAGGGAGGAGAGGGAGGAGAGAGAGGAGAGAGAGGAGAGAGAGGAGAGAGAGGAGAGAGAGGAGAGGGAGGAGAGAGAGAGGAGAGGGAGGAGAGAGAGGAGAGGGAGGAGAGAGAGGAGAGAGAGGAGAGAGAGGAGAGAGAGGAGAGGGAGGAGAGGGAGGAGAGAGAGGAAGAGAGAGGAGAGGGAGGAGAGAGAGAGAGGGAGTAGAGGAGGAGGAGAAGAGAAGAAGAAGCGGAAGAGGACGAGAGGAGTAGGTAAGGAGGAGCAGAGGAGGATGAGCTGAGGAAGAGAAGAAGGAGAGTAGAGGAGGAGGAGCTGAGGAAGAGAGCAAGAGGAAGAGTAGAACAGGAGGAGCAGAGGAGAAGAAGAAGAAGAGGAGTAGGGAAGGAGGAGCAGAGGAGGAGTAGAGAAGGAGGAGCTGAGGAAGAGAAGAGTGGGAGAGAAGTAGGAGGAGCAGAAGAGGAATAGAAGGAGAGGAGGAGTCGAGTCGAAGAAGTAGGGTAGGAGGCGCACAGAAGGAGTAGAGTCAAAGGAGTGTAAGGAGAGAAGAAAAGGAGGAGCAGAGAAGGAGGAGTAGAGAAGTACAAATCGCCGCATTAGACCGATCCGATTCTCGGTCCGGCTTGAAAAATGGTAGAGGAGGAGTAGAGAAGGAATAGAGGAGGAGGAGGAGGAGTAGACAAGGAGCAATGAGGAATGAGACACGAGGCAGGAAGAAGGAGGCAGGAGGAAGGAGGCAGCCGTCATCTCTGCTCCAGCGAACAGGGAACAGAGGAGGGAGGAGGGAGGTAGAAGGAATCAGGTAGAAGGAAGGAGGCAGGAGGAAGGAGGCAGGAGGAAGTAGGTAGGAGGAAGGGGGCAGGAGGAAGGAGGCAGCAGGAAGGAGGCAGGAGGGAGGAGGCAGCAGGAAGGAGGCAGGAGGAAGGAAGAAGGAGGCAGCAGGAAGGAGGTACAAGAAAGGAGGTAGAAGGAAGGAGGCAGCAGGAAGGAGGTAGATGGAAGCAAGAAGGAAGCAGCAGGAAGGAGGCAGGAGGAAGGAAGAAGGAGGCAGGAGGAAGGAAGAAGGAGGCAGCAGGAAGGAGGCAGGAGGGAGGAGGCAGCAGGAAGGAGGCAGGAGGAAGGAAGAAGGAGGCAGCAGGAAGGAGGTAGTGGAAAGGAGGTAGAAGGAAGGAGGTAGAAGAAAGGAGGTAGAAGGAAGGAGTTTGAAAAAAGGAGGCAGCAGGAAGGAGGCAGGAGGAAGGAAGGAGGAGGTAGAAGGAAGGAGGCATGAGGAAGGAGGTAGAAGGAAGGAGGCAGCAGGAAGGAGGCAGGAGGAAGGAAGAAGGAGGCAGCAGGAAGGAGGCAGGAGGAAGAAAGAAGGAGGCAGCAGGAAGGAGGCAGGAGGAAGGAAGAAGGAGGCAGCAGGAAGGAGGCAGGAGGAAGGAAGAAGGAGGCAGCAGGAAGGAGGCAGGAGGAAGGAAGAAGGAGGTAGAAGGAAGGAGGCAGGAGGAAGGAGGCAGGAGGAAGGAAGGAGGAGGTAGAAGGAAGGAGGCAGGAGGAAGGAGGCAGGAGGAAGGAAGGAGGAGGTAGAAGGAAGGAGGCAGGAGGAAGGAAGGAGGAGGTAGAAGGAAGGAGGCAGGAGGAAGGAAGGAGGAGGTAGAAGGAAGGAGGCAGGAGGAAGGAAGAAGGAGGCAGGAGGGAGGAGGCAGGAGGAAGGAAGAAGGAGGCAGCAGGAAGGAAGGAGGAGGTAGAGGGAAGGCGGCAGGAGGAAGGAAGAAGGAGGCAGGAGGGAGGAGGCAGGAGGAAGGAAGAAGGAGGCAGGAGGGAGGATGCAGGAAGAAGGAGGCAGGAGGGAGGAGGCAGGAGGTAGGAAGAAGGAGGCAGGAGAAAGGAAGGAGGAGGTAGAAGAAAGGAGGCAGGAGGAAGGAAGAAGGAGGCAGGAGGGAGGAGGCAGGAGGAAGGAAGAAGGAGGCAGGAGGGAGGAGGCAGGAGGAAGGAAGAAGGAGGCAGGAGGGAGGAGGCAGGAGGAAGGAAGAAGGAGGCAGCAGGAAGGAAGGAGGAGGTAGAAGGAAGGAGGCAGGAGGAAGGAAGAAGGAGGCAGGAGGGAGGAGGCAGGAGGAAGGAAGAAGGAGGCAGGAGGGAGGAGGCAGGAGGAAGGAAGAAGGAGGCAGGAGGGAGGAGGCAGGAGGTAGGAAGAAGGAGGCAGGAGAAAGGAAGGAGGAGGTAGAAGGAAGGAGGCAGGAGGAAGGAAGAAGTAGGCAGGCGGGAGGAGGCAGGAGGAAGGAAGAAGGAGGCAGCAGGAAGGAGGCAGGAGGAAGGAAGAAGGAGGCAGGAGAAAGGAAGGAGGAGGTAGAAGGAAGGAGGCAGGAGGAAGGAAGGAGGAGGTAGAAGGAAGGATGCAGGAGGAAGGAAGAAGGAGGCAGGAGGGAGGAGGCAGGAGGAAGGAAGAAGGAGGCAGCAGGAAGGAAGGAGGAGGTAGAAGGAAGGAGGCAGGAGGAAGGAAGAAGGAGGCAGGAGGGAGGAGGCAGGAGGAAGGAAGAAGGAGGCAGGAGGGAGGAGGCAGGAGGAAGGAAGAACGAGGCAGGAGGGAGGAGGCAGGAGGTAGGAAGAAGGAGGCAGGAGAAAGGAAGGAGGAGGTAGAAGGAAGGAGGCAGGAGGAAGGAAGAAGGAGGCAGGAGGGAGGAGGCAGGAGGAAGGAAGAAGGAGGCAGGAGGGAGGAGGCAGGAGGAAGGAAGAAGGAGGCAGCAGGAAGGAGGCAGGAGGAAGGAAGAAGGAGGCAGGAGAAAGGAAGGAGGAGGTAGAAGGAAGGAGGCAGGAGGAAGGAAGAAGGAGGCAGGAGGGAGGAGGCAGGAGGAAGGAAGAAGGAGGCAGGAGGGAGGAGGCAGGAGGAAGGAAGAAGGAGGCAGCAGGAAGGAGGCAGGAGGAAGGAAGAAGGAGGCAGGAGAAAGGAAGGAGGAGGAAGGAAGAAGGAGGCAGGAGGGAGGAGGCAGGAGGAAGGAAGAAGGAGGCAGGAGGGAGGAGGCAGGAGGAAGGAAGAAGGAGGCAGGAGAAAGGAAGGAGGAGGTAGAAGGAAGGAGGCAGGAGGAAGGAAGGAGGAGGAAGGAAGGAGGAGGTAGAAGGAGGAGGTAGAAGGAAGGAGGTAGAAGAAGGAGGCAGGAGGAAGGAAGGAGGAGGTAGGAGAAAGGAGGCAGAAATGTGGATGAAGGTTGGAGAGTTGCACAGGTCTTTGTGTCAGTTCTATCAACACTGCTCCTTCTCACCTCCTTCTCACCTCCTGCTCCTTCTCACCTCCTGCTCCTTCTCACCTCCTTCTCACCTCCTGCTCCTTCTCACCTCCTTCTCACCTCCTGCTCCTTCTCACCTCCTGCTCCTTCTCACCTCCTGTTCCTTCTCACCTCCTTCTCACCTCCTGCTTCTTCTCACCTCCTGCTCCTTCTCACCTCCTTCTCACCTCCTGCTCCTTCTCACCTCCTTCTCACCTCCTGCTCCTTCTCACCTCCTTCTCACCTCCTGCTCCTTCTCACCTCCTTCTCACCTCCTGCTCCTTCTCACCTCCTTCTCACCTCCTGCTCCTTTTCACCTCCTTCTCACCTCCTGTTCCTTCTCACCTCCTTCTCACCTCCTGCTCCTTCTCACCTCCTTCTCACCTCCTGTTCCTTCACACCTCCTTCTCTCACCTCCTGCTCCTTCTCACCTCCTGCTCCTTCTCACCTCCTTCTCACCTCCTGCTCCTTCTCACCTCCTTCGCACCTCCTGCTCCTTCTCACCTCCTTCTCACCTCCTGCTCCTTCTCACCTCCTTCTCACCTCCTGTTCCTTCTCACCTCCTGCTCCTTCTCACCTCCTGCTCCTTCTCACCTCCTGCTCCTTCTCACCTCCTTCTCACCTCCTGTTCCTTCTCACCTCCTTCTCACCTCCTGCTCCTTCTCACCTCCTGCTCCTTCTCACCTCCTTCTCACCTCCTGCTCCTTCTCACCTCCTGTTCCTTCTCACCTCCTGCTCCTTCTCACCTCCTGCTCCTTCTCACCTCCTTCTCACCTCCTGCTCCTTCTCACCTCCTGCTCCTTCTCACCTCCTGCTCCTTCTCACCTCCTTCTCACCTCTTGTCCTTCTCACCTCCTTCTCACCTCCTGCTCCTTCTCACCTCCTGCTCCTTCTCACCTCCTTCTCACCTCCTGCTCCTTCTCACCTCCTGCTCCTTCTCATCTCCTTCTCACCTCCTGCTCCTTCTCACCTCCTTCTCACCTCCTGTTCCTTCTCACCTCCTGCTCCTTCTCACCTCCTTCTCACCTCCTGCTCCTTCTCACCTCCTTCTCACCTCCTGTTCCTTCTCACTCTACCTTCTCACCTCCTTCTCACCTCCTGCTCCTTCTCACCTCCTTCTCACCTCCTGCTCCTTCTCACCTCCTTCTCACCTCCTGCTCCTTCTCACCTCCTTCTCACCTCCTGCTCCTTCTCACCTCTTCTCACCTCCTGCTCCTTCTCACCTCCTTCTCACCTCCTGCTCCTTCTCACCTCCTTCTCACCTCCTGCTCCTTCTCACCTCCTTCTCACCTCCTGTTCCTTCTCACCTCCTTCTCACCTCCTGCTCCTTCTCACCTCCTTCTCACCTCCTGCTCCTTCTCACCTCCTTCTCACCTCCTGCTCTTCTCACCTCCTGCTCCTTCTCACCTCCTTCTCACCTCCTGCTCCTTCTCACCTCCTTCTCACCTCCTGCTCCTTCTCACCTCCTGCTCCTTCTCACCTCCTTCTCACCTCCTGCTCCTTCTCACCTCTTCTCACCTCCTGCTCCTTCTCACCTCCTTCTCACCTCCTGCTCCTTCTCTCCCCTCCTTCTCACTCCTCCTGCTCCTTCTCACCTCCTTCTCACCTCCTTCTCACCTCCTGCTCCTTCTCACCTCCTGCTCCTTCTCACCTCCTTCTCACCTCCTGCTCCTTCTCACCTCCTGCTCCTTCTCACCTCCTTCTCACCTCCTGCTCCTTCTCACTTCTCACCTCCTTCTCACCTCCTGCTCCTTCTCACCTCCTTCTCACCTCCTGCTCCTTCTCACCTCCTGCTCCTTCTCACCTCCTGTTCCTTCTCACCTCCTTCTCACCTCCTGCTCCTTCTCACCTCCTTCTCACCTCCTGCTCCTTCTCACCTCCTTCTCACCTCTGCTCCTTCTCACCTCCTGCTCCTTCTCACCTCCTGCTCCTTCTCACCTCCTGTCTCCTTTCTCACCTCCTGCTCCTTCTCACCTCCTGCTCCTTCTCACCTCCTTCTCTCTCCCTCCTTCTCACCTCCTGCTCCTTCTCACTCCTTCTCACCTCCTGCTCCTTCTCACCTCCTGCTCCTTCTCACCTCCTGCTCCTTCTCACCTCCTTCTCACCTCCTTCTACCTTCTCACTCTCCTTCTCACCTCCTCACCCCTCCTTCTCACCTCCTTCTCACCTCCTGCTCCTTCTCACCTCCTGCTCCTTCTACCTCCTTCTCACCTCCTGCTCCTTCTCCCTCCTCTCCTCTCACCTCTGTCCTTCTCACTCTCACCTGCTCCTTCTCACCTCCTTCTCACCTCCTGCCTTCTCTCCTCTCACCTCCTGTCTCCTTCTCACCTCCTTTCTCCTTCTCACCTCCTGTCCTTCTCACTTCTCCCTCTCTCCTTCTCACCTCCTTTCTCACCTCCTGCTCCTTCTCATCTCCTTCTCACCTCCTCCCTCCTCTCACTCCTTCTCACCTCCTGTCTCTCCTTCTCACTCTGCTCCTTCTCACTCCTTCTCACCTCCTGCTCCTCTCACTCTCTCCCTCCTCTCCTCCCTCCTTCTCACCTCCTGCTCCTTCTCACCTCCTTCTCACCTCCTGCTCCTTCTCACCTCCTTCTCACCTCCTGCTCCTTCTCACCTCCTTCTCACCTCCTGTTCCTTCTCACCTCCTTCTCACCTCCTGCTCCTTCTCACCTCCTTCACACCTCCTGCTCCTTCTCACCTCCTTCTCCTCCTCCTCACCTCCTTCTCACCTCCTTCTCCCTCTCACCTCCTTCTCCTCCCTCCTTCTCACTCCCTCCTTCTCACCTCCTTCTCACCTCCTTCTCACCTCCTTCTCACCTCCTGCTCCTTCTCACCTCCTTCTCACCTCCTGCTCCTTCTCACCTCCTGCTCCTTCTCACCTCCTTCTCACCTCCTGCTCCTTCTCACCTACTTCTCACCTCCTGCTCCTTCTCACCTCCTTCTCACCTCCTTCTCACCTCCACCACCACCAGGGAGAAATGAAAACAAACAAGTCACTTCCAACGGTCCATTCGAAGACGCCAAGGCTTCTCAATCAGTGGAGCGCGTTCTCTCTCCTCAGTGAAGGCTGAAGGAGTAAATGTGAAGATTAGTTAGTCAGAGATTTTATATTTCTTACTTCCTCATTATGCTAGAGTTAGAGTTTTCAGATTAGTTCCTTAGCATGCTAAAGCTAGTGATTTTATACTAGCTTCTTTATCATGCTAAAGCTAGAGAGTTTATACTAGCTTCTTTATTATGCTATAGCTATGAGTTTATACTAGCTTCTTTATTATGCTAAAGCTATGAGTTTATACTAGCTTCTTTATTATGCTAAAGCTAGAGATTTTATACTTGCTTCTTTATTATGCTAAAGCTAGAGATTTTAGACTTGCTTCTTCGTTATGCTAAACCATCACGGGTTTGTTTGAAAGCAAGAAAGTGAAGTGAGATGAAAAGTGGGCCATGGTTCTGTTTTGAAAGTAGTTTGAGAAAGTTACAATATGAAAGATGCATGGACCTTTCCAAAACAGGTCTTTAAAGTCCTTTTCCAGAGTATGTATGGTATTTATTTGCTATTTGAATAGACTTTTTTCTGTAGAATCTGTAATACTTCCTGTACTTTATAGCTAGGTTTATGTATGTACTTGTCTGGTGCACACTAGGGTACTTATTCCCAGTGTGGTTTTACTGCAAATGGCAAATAAACTGAATAGGAATATTGCGTTTTGAATCAAAAGTGGTTTGTGCATTTATTCACTCGATCGCAGTCGCCAAATATAAAGAAATAGCTGTAGCTTATAGCATAAAAACGTACTGTAAATTCACCATTCTGTATTTTTCCATTTTCTTATCACTTCAAATCATTAAGGGAGTACGAGTTTCATTCTTTCTTGTTACTTCTTGCCATCATTATCTACAATTAATGTCGGTTATTTGCGCTCAATTCTCTGTAGTGCCATTAAAAATCCGGGTGCAGAGCCAACTTTAAATATGCACCAACTCTTTATTAGCAAATTCCACTTGTGGTTAGGTTTTTAAATGTGTTAGAATTTATTAGAATGGACTTAATACGTGGTGTAATTGATTGGAAAATATGTCCTAATAATGTAATTTGTCAAACATTATTCATCATTATGTGTTTGTGTGGGTGCTTTGGCTGGAACCACCGTCTGATTGCGTGAAAGACTCTCTTCAGGAGCCCAACCGTCATAACTGTCAGATCCCATCCCCTGGAATAAGTGCAGCTAATGTGATGTGGCTTTTTTTGGAGCTTTCCGAACTCTGTGCTCATCTGTGTCTCTGTTTGTTCACCCCTCCCAGGTGCGGCCACGGAGTCGGCATCATGAGGCAGCAGCGCGCCCAAAACTCTCCCGAAAACTCCCTCCTCAAGTCGATCAACACGGGGCAAGAGAAGCCAAGGCTATCAGAGCAACGGCAAGTTCCCCAAGTCATTTGAAAGAAGTCTATGGAGTGAGCAGGAGAGTAGGAGATAGAGTTCCACCTTAAGCTTACATTATATCGTTGCCAAAATGTGGGATATGCAAAGACGCTTGTCCGGAATTACCTCAACAGCCTTTTAAGATTGTCAATGGACAGGACAAGAATTTCTCGCAGCTCTTTGAACTTAAGATGCACAAAAAACAGAACCAAGTCTTTCTAAAAGCCATTTGCAAGTTTCCATTTTAAGATGGACTCCAGATTTGCGACAATATCCTGAACATTCTTTTGAAGTGGGGCGTCCATGGAGGAGACCGAAGTGCAATTTGTTTTGATCCCATTTGGAATAGTCACGATTTTAACGCAGCGATGTCCTTGCTAGCGCATCACCCCGAACTTGAATCGCCTTGTTAATGGTTCATCTCCCGCCCGATTGAGGCTTAACGGACTAGCCCATAAATGCAGGCGCGTAAGAAATATGTTTTGCTGGGTTTGTGCGCGTGCTGTTGGCTGCTGCTCTTCTACTGGGGCGGAGGGGTTCAGCTCCGGGTGCTACGGCTCCTAACGCGGCACCGAGGGGAGGTGGTGCGGTTTTGGCCCAACTGGACGGACCGCGCCTTCCTGCCAAGATATGCCCACTTAGAGGAGCTGCAAACCGACTCGGGGATCGCGGAATCTCCCAGGCAACGTCGGCAAGCCTGGTCGGCCATTTACAAAGACAGCCGTTGCCGCATGGAGACTTGCTTTGACTTCTCGCGGTGCAGGCGCAGAGGCCGCGAGGGGTTCCGCGTCTACATCTACCCCTCGGAGAAGAACGATCGCGTCTCGGAAAGCTACAGGAAGATTTTGACGTCCATCGCCGAGTCCAGATACTACACGACCGACCCTCGCGAAGCTTGTCTGTTCGTACTCGGAATAGACACTCTCGATCGCGACCAGCTTTCGGGACAGTTCGTGCAAAACGTAGACGACCGCATCCGTGGTTACCCGCTATGGAACGACGGGAGGAATCATTTGATATTTAACTTATATTCCGGAACGTGGCCGAACTACACAGAAGACCTCGGGTTCAATATCGGGCAGGCCATGTTAGCAAAAGCAAGCCTCAACACGGAACACTTTAGACCGGGTTTTGACATATCCATACCATTGTTCTCCAAGGATCACCCTCAAAAGGGGGGAGAGAGGGGCTGGCTGGTGCGCAACACGGTGCCCCCGAGACGAAAATACATGCTCATGTTTAAAGGGAAGCGATATCTGACGGGAATAGGCTCGGACACGAGGAACGCGCTGCACCACATCCACAACGGGAAGGACATCGTGTCGCTGACCACCTGCAAACACGGAAAGGACTGGGAGAAGCACAAAGACGCTCGCTGTGACCATGACAACCTCGAGTACGAAAGGTAAGACGCACTCACTGACCAATGGGATTTAAAGCTGTTTTTGAATTGTAATGTTGGTGTTGCTACAGGAGTTTGTGGGCTGGTGTTGTGCAGAGAACTACTGAGTTTGGTTTTACGCAGTGACAAGCTTACGATTGGGATCAACAGAAATGTAAAAGGGTAATTTTGTATTCTTTGATGTTTTTTATGTAAAGCTATGACTCTTTTGTATAAGATGTATAAGAAGTAAGTTAGTGCTGCTTAATTACCAAGCAACTAAGTACTGGTTTTTCACTTTTGTCTTGTTAAAAGAACTGTCTATGCCTTGGGGTAGGGACAAGTTGCGTTAGAGGAAAGCCTTTGATATCCTTAGTGTTATAACATTTACAAAAAGGGGATTGTCTATAGAACCCTCTGACGGCAACCAACTCACTTCTCAGTCCCACATTTAATAGTGCTGCCCTTGCGTTCTAAACCTAACCCTGTGGCTCAACATTTTCCAATTTAACTTAAACATGATCTTAATCCACCCCAGTTCTTCCATTGTCGGCCTCTAACCAGTATTCTAAAGATAGAGGGAGATCTTTTTGTTGCTTCGTCAACTGTCATGAAACTAACAGTATTCACACATTTTTAGAAGGATGGCAGAAAAGCTGTGAAAGGTGAGAGCTGTCAGATGCTCGGATGCTTTAGCTGCACAATAGAACCCATGCATTGTGGTTTAATATGTTTAAAGTGGTGGAAAAGCAGAAAAACATACTTCAGTATTGAGTGTTTTGTTTTGACAAAGCTGGGAAGCTGTTTGAAAGCCATGTTGTTACCTCAATGGCACGTCAGCTTTCTATGTGAGAAATATTGGATCTAAATATGCGGTTTTGAAAGTACAGTTGTTTTGTGTTGTGGAAGGCAGAATACCTGTTTGTCTGGCTGGGATACTTTTTGGCATGGCCTTAAGTAATCTACATTTATGGCATTAATGTGACAAGGCAGATCCAGACCAGAAGCAAACCAGCTCACTCTGTGTGTTCAAGCTATTTTGGAGTAAAATAAACATTTGGTGTGATATCATATGAGATAGACATAGTTACTCCCATACAAGGGGACACTATAACAGTAAAAAAGCACAAAACACATTTCAATCCCAAAGTGCTTCACAAGCCTAAGTCAATACTTGTCACTTAAAAACGCACAATACCTTATTAAACAGTGCAAATACAATACATATGGAACATAATGTAGTCGAAATTCAGTGAAAAATATCTAAATTAAAACAAAAAGGCTTCAGAAATTAGTCGTATGCACAGCTAAATATGACAGTTATCAACCTGGACTTATCCATTGCAAGGGATGTGGCCTGTTCTCCAAACTCAGAGAGACTTTTCCAGATTTTAGTTACATAAATCTGAAATACTGCTCCCTCATCTTCTTCATGTTTAGTCCCAACAGGAGGCCAGTCCCTGTGCTCCTCAGAGTCCCAACAGGAGACCAGTCCCTGTGCTCCTCTGAGTCCCAACAGGAGACCAGTCCCTGTGCTCCTCTGAGTCCCAACAGGAGACCAGTCCCTGTGCTCCTCAGAGTCCCATCAGACCAGTCCCTGTGCTCCTCTGAGTCCCAACAGGAGACCAGTCCCTGTGCTCCTCAGAGTCCCAACAGGAGACCAGTACCTGTGCTCCTCAGAGTCCCATCAGGAGACCAGTCCCTGTGCTCCTCAGAGTTTGAGTTGGTTCAATTGTTATACATTTTTGCCTTGCTGTGTGAAGAAATAGTTTTAGAAATGGAAAATGTCTTCTAACACATTGAAATACATCAAACAAACTGATGGAGTCTCCAGATACAAACGCAATCGCGACTTTCGAGTGTCAAATACAATGTTGTTTTTATCGACCAATCTTCTGCGGTCTTGTCATTTTGTGCTGGTTTAAACTTTACACACCATTTTATTGCACTGTAACACATTTTCCTCCCAGTGGTTATTTCTGTCTCTCGTTTATGAGATCACAATTCCTACTGTTCCCTTTTATGAAGTCTGCTGGCGTCTTTTGACATCAAAGAGGGCCGCGCTCTCATGTCTCTGGAAATGTAGATTTGGGTCAACTTTGAAAGACTATCATTTGTAGTTTTTTAATAAGAAAACTGTAGTTAAACCGTGCCACTTATCCTGAAGAGATAAACCTTGATCTCCAATAGAAGACAAACACATCCATATGTAGAGTAGGAGTCCAGATAGAAGGACGTAGCATCTATTTTGACCTGCATCGGTGTGGGAAAGTGAGAAAACTCCATCTTTACCTGTTAAGACTGGCTCACACGAGATGATTTCATATTTGTCGGCCGATTTTCCTAACCTGAGAGACCCGACACACGGAGATAAAAAATCAAGGGTCTTTGGTCGTACAGTGTGTGGTGCAGCCACACGGTAAAATCACACAAATCACACACATCACACACAAACCGATTTCACCCAGGAGCATTCCCAGTTCAGACGTAAATCTCACAAAATCTCTGGAGATCAAGCGTGACTTCAGAGTAAACAATCATGGCGGACGGAGAGGATGCAGCGGCGATAGTTTGTTTGTTTTTAACAGAGAAAAAGTGTTATCAAAGGAAAAGGCAATGGTCAAAGAAATGGAGACTGTATTTATTTATGCCGTTGACTTTTATGATTTTTTTACGGTGTTTCCTCGCCGTCTCGTCTTCTGATTGGCTACACGCCGCAGTCCACTGGCAGCGTGCTCGTCTGTCCCCGACACCACACACATAGAGAAATTAGGCCAAAACAATCCAACATGTTGGATATCCCCGATTTGAGATCGGAGCAGTCCCGAAGTCCTTCTGAGCGACGCAGTCTTAACACACCACACATGCAGGAAGATCCTTCAGATTTTTTTTAACAAAAATTCTTAAGATTGTTGTTAGGGGTAAATCAGGTGTTAAATTGGTCTCATTATCCTGCTGTGTGAACCAGGCTTTAGGACCAGGGTCAATCAATTACATTCCATTCAATTCCATTTGTTTGTATATCCCTAAATATGAATGACAATGAAGTTGAAGTCTAATCTAATCACAAAAGTAGTCGTCTCTGAGGAAATCAAACAGTTCGAACACAGAAATTACAATGATGACAAACCTATAGAAGACTTTGGTTCGCAGGGAGCCGGACAACCACTGTCCATAAACGTCCATAAACGTCCATAAATATCAATAAATATCCATAAATGTCCATAAATGTTAACAAATCATAACCAGCGTCGACCAGGAACGACTCAAAAACCATTGGGGGAAAACTAAAACCTCCATTTGGACTCAGTGGGACCAGGTGCATAAACATGTAAAGTAAACATGTAATTTGTCAAATTTAAGGTTAAACTAAATCAACTTTTTTGAGCGCATGTATAAAAACATAATTCCCTCATCGACAGACTCAGAGTAGTGTTTAGCTCCATCCACGCTAATATCAGGAACGTCACAAGCATGTAGCTCCGCCCCTTTCTGTCTCCAAGCTCCTGTCTCAGTCCTGTAACAGCATGATGTCATTGTTCTACTATGACATCACACTCAGAGCTGTTTTTTGCCTTTTAAAACAAAAATATTGCCTATAAATTAGTTTTGTCAATTTCTGCGGGGAACACTGATCCAACAGAATAATGAAGTGACGTAGATACTGTGGTGGTTCTCCGCTCTCTGCGCCTGGAGAAGTTTGCATAGATTGGACTGAGACTAATGCAGGACGAGACATTTCAACTGAAAATTGAGATTATACAAAACTAGGTATTCATTATTATTCATGTATTTTCATATTGTGCTGCACTTTCAGAAGTCAAATCTTGGTGTCGTCACAAAACCTCATTTTAAGACTAAAACTTGGCAGAAGTTGTTATAGATCCATTAAGCCCCTGCAGAGCTTTAAGCAGGATTAAACACTGTCTATGATCTAAACTAGTCCAGATCTCCAAAAGTCCCCAGTGTCCGCTCACCCCAGTTTGACAACCGCTCCTATAGAGAAGCAATATTACGGATAATTAATTTGAATAGGCCTTGGAGAGCCTTGCGTATGTGCTTAATAAGGCGTGGAAAGGTCATTACTATTGGCTTAGTCCTATTAGCAGCTGTAGTGTAAACATCCCATTATAATGTGATTTAACAGGATTGTAATGGTGTTCCCCACGTCCACAAAACTAATACTCCGGACTTTGTGGTCCACGCTCTGTGAGATAATAGGCTTTTATCTCCTCAAAACGTCCGAGAGAAGTTGTGTTGCTCCAGGTTTAAGTGCGGCTTTCAGGTCTGGATCGAGCAGCGCTTTTTGTATTAGTCCTCATTCGATTCTGTAATGTATATTAATGTTTTTACGTTATTCACATTTATGGACAGCGGTCATCTCGCTCCCAATGGACAAATTCTCAACGTGTTTTTTATTTTTCCATTTCTGATTATTGCATTTCTGGTTATTTCAGGAACGACTGCTGTTGTGATTTAAGACAATGTTGTCCTTGAAGTTTAGAAATGCAGTAAAAAACCAAGAACAAAAAGAACATGACTAATATGTTTTGTTTACTTAATTGACCCGATCCTTGAGAGCTGTCAGTCTTTCCAGCTTAGTGGGAGTGAGGTGTAGGGTCAGAGAGTGTTTGGGCCCATGTCATGTCTGATGGAAATGGATGAAGGGTTCTTTGTGTTTTATATCAGTGCGGGTTTGAAATACCCAGGGCGACAGTGGCTTAGTTGGTAGAGCATTGGCCTTTGGGTCTGAAGGTCAGACCCAAAGGCAGGTAAGACCTACTTCACGACTCCCACTGATGTCTGCTGTCGTTGGGCAAGACACTTTACCCCACTGAAAGATCTCAGCTCCTGTGGACTCAGCACCTGCAGGAGGATCAGTGAGGGGCTGGTGCTAAGTGTAATGGGTTCAGCTCTGACTGCCACACCCCCGACCCAGAAATGGTTTAAGGGGAAGAAAATGGATGGAGGGTTTGAAATAAATAATCTAATGTCTGTTTCATGTAACTGGTTGATTTGGAAAGTTGTGTTTGTCGTGTGACCAAATGTTAGGCTACTAAGGCTTAGAATAATCTGTTAATTTATGTGTTTTCAGTTTTTCAGAATGTTTCCAGGTCGTTTGTACAGTGGTGTATGTATGTAGGTTTGAATGTGTGTGTGGAGGTATGTACTGTAAGTATATTGACAAAAATGAAAAACTTATATCTGCATTCTACATTTATGTCTACAGCATGTCATAACTGGGTTCCCTTGGGCGCAGAAAGTAACGCACACTCTTTCTCCAGACAAAGTTAGCAATCAGTGGATTTGTCCTGCCATTGTCCTGTTAATTTTGTCTGTATTGTTGCTCACAAACAAACAAACAAACGCTGGTGATCACTTCACCTCGTGGGCGGAGGCTATAATGATCCAGGTTTCATAGATTCTCAAAACATACCAGACAGAGTCTTGCTAATTATTCTATCTGCTTTTTATGTATCCACCCTTCCTGCAATATGTGATCGTGATGGATAATAACAAAGCAATTAAAACAATAAAAATATTAGTAATTAAACAGTCATAAAACAGGAGATTAAAGCAGACAGACAACAAGAAAGACAAAGCAAAGACCATGTGGAAAAGTGCTTCTGTAGTCGACCTATTTACACAAATATATAATAATCTCAGTAATCTTGTTAGTCTCAGCCATATTTCTCTCCAGCTTTTGTCTGGGATCAGAGATATTAAACCAGTGCATTTTCTCGTGTGACCTTTGTGAGATTACGGCACAGACCATGCATCCGTCAAACTCACTGTGATGTTTTTTGTTTTATATAATGGAAACGTGAAAGAGCCCGAACCTCTTTTCTGGTGGCTGCGTGTTTCTACAGACGCTACAGTAAACATCTCTCACTCAGCGCTGCAAAAACACACGTGTTATGGTTCTGTGTTTAAAGTAAATCTGGGGTTTGTTCAGCCGTTTAAGGCAAAGAAAAACAGATAATTTTGTGTTTAAACAGGCTGAAGGTTGACTCTAAATGCATTTATAGAATCTGAGTCTGGGGCGAACTAGACACGAGAAATCATTGTTCTGCGTTCACCTCGAAAAGTTATTAGTACACTGTAAAAAAGTGATGAAAAACAAGTCAAAATGTGCTCAGTTTTGGCAAAATGCATCTTAATTTGAGCACATTTGGTCTGCCTTAAAACACGAATTGCCAATGGGACGATCAAAATGTTTTAAAAGATACAAGAAATGTCTCGCTTGGAATGAATTAAGACTAAACGGCTTTGTCCCATTGGAGAATCTAGTTTTAATACAATCAGAATGTACACAAATTAAGATAAAGACCGCTCAGTTCAAGCAGTTACTACCTCATTTTTTGCAGTGTACTAGTAATCATTCATCATTTTTTTTATCTGAGACTCAGGGTCACGTCACAAGAATAAGCTATAATATGTATTTATAGGAAATGAGATAACTGTTATTGTTCCGTAAGTGAAATTTTGCTGTGAGGTACAGTGCTTCACAAATCTGCATAAAAAAGAACATTAAAGTACATTTGATGCTTTGAAGTCTTGGTTTAGTTCAATTCTTCATCTCTTATAATAAATAGGTCCTGGATAAAAGTATTTCTTACTCCTTGGTTTCACAGTTGTAGTGTGGAGTCATTTTCCACGCTCTTCAAACATAGCACTTTTTCTATACAGAGTGTTAGAAGGCGGCTCTACTACCTACTACTGTACATGTTTTTAATGGTAGGGCAAACAGGAGCACCTGGAGGAAACCTGTGAAGTCATGGTGAGAGCATGCAATCGGGGGATCTCTTGTTGTGAGGCGATGTTGCTCAAATGTAATGGTATGAATCAAGCCAAAGCAATTTCCAAGTCTGTGACCTCCTGTTACTTACGTGGCAATAAAAATGATTCTGATTCTGATTCTGATAATAGAGTAAAAAATGGTGCTGACAAATATTGATTCTCATTTATGTATTTCTTTGTGTGAAAGAAGCAATATGTGAGAGTTTCATGTCAAGGCATCATTAAAGGGCCCTAATCTGTCAAAAGGCATTCATAAAACTTGCTCTTTTCCAATACTTCTTTAACTGATAACAGTATTTCCGAGATACTAGAATTTTGAAATATCTCTCCATCGTTTCTCCAATCAGAAAGTCCGTGATCCGGGCGCCAGAACTCACCGCGTGGAGCTAATCTCACTGGTAAAGTACCATGTGGCGCAGAACTAAAAAAGGTCTCGTTATGATTCTCAAATCATTAACGACAAAAGGAATAAAACCAGGATTTCTATCTTTGTGAAAAAGGTGTTGGTTATAGATTTGTTGTTGATAAAACTCTTGTCTATTCAGCTGTTATGGTCCCAGCTGGATTCGTCTGCATATCTGGCAACCTGAGTCAGGGAGAGTGGGAGAGGCTGCAGTACCACTTTTGGCCAGATTTATACATACTGCTCCTGCTTTAACTATTTTTTTTTTCAAAAGATAAGTCAAATTAATACTAGGGTACCCAAATTTCAAACCACAAAACTATCCATGTAACTAGTTAATCTCGAAACATCTTGCTTCTATCACCACCCTATTTGGCGATTCGGGCTGGTGGAAACAGGGCTAACCCGCTAACCGGTTTGAGTACCTGCTTAGCTCTGGCTCTAGATGCAAAGATAGATACTTTATTGACCCCCGGAGAGGGAATTCAGGAAACGCATCCGTACAGACAAACAAAAAACAAATATATAACACTAAAAGCGCAGTATTTCAACAGTGCTTCAGGCTCTAGATGGCGTTTGAAATCGATATACGTCTCTCCATCTCCATCTGCTCTGAAAAGTACCTAACTTTCACTTTCATCCATTCATTCTCTCTCGTGTAAAAACTTCTGCCGTTGGTAAAAAGTCTCCAGTGTCTGTGGTTCTTCTGACTCACGTGTTTGTTTTGGGAGAGACTGAATGAGGCAGTTATTCCTCCACAGCTCCTGGGTGGCAGCAGAGGGGAGAGGGGGAGAGAGGTGAGGAGGAGAGGGGGAGAGGGGGGAGGGGGGAGAGGGGTGAGGAGGAGAGGAGGAGAGGGGTGAGGGGGTGAGGAGGAGAGGGGAGAGGAGGGGAGGGGGAGAGGGAGGAGGGGGGAGAGGGGTGAGGGGGTGAGGAGGAGAGGGGGAGAGGGGTGAGGAGGAGAGGGAGGAGGGGGGTGAGGAGGAGAGGGGTGAGGGGGAGAGGAGGAGAGGGGTGAGGGGGTGAGGAGGAGAGGGGAGAGGAGGGGAGGGGTGAGGGGGTGAGGAGGAGGAGAGGGAGGAGGGGGGGAGAGGGGTGAGGAGGAGAGGGGAGAGGAGGAGAGGGGAGAGGAGGAGAGGGGAGAGGAGGAGAGGGGTGAGGGGGAGAGGGGAGGGGGAGAAGGGAGAGGGGGAGAGGGGAGAGGGGTGAAGGAAAGATGGGTGAGGGGGAGGGGGAGAGGGGGAGAGAGGAGAGGAGAGGGGGAGAGGGGAGAGGGGTGAAGGAAAGATGGGTGAGGGGGAGGGGGAGAGAGGGGTAAATACATAACTAAACAATGGTACTAAACATTAGTTACAGTTACTTTGTTATGTAAAAAAAAAAGTCAATTTCACAAAACAAGTTAATTTTGTTTTATCTCATCTGAAGACTTTGTCTTGGAGCCGGTTGTCCCTCCCCTGGTCTCTCTCTATGTCTCTGTCTCTGTCTCTCTCTCTCCGTCTCTCAGTCTCAGTCTCAGTCTCAGTCTCTCAGTCTCTCAGTCTCTCAGTCTCAGTCTCTCAGTCTCTCAGTCTCGGTCGTTCTGTCTCTCAGTCTCGGCCTCTCAGTCTCAGTGTCTCAGTCTCGGTCTTTCTGTCTCTCAGTCTCGGCCTCTCAGTCTCAGTCTCTCTGTCTCTCAGTCTCGGCCTCTCAGTCTCTCAGTCTCAGTCTCTCTGTCTCTCAGTCTCGGCCTCTCAGTCTCTCAGTCTCTCAGTCTCTCAGTCTCAGTCTCTCAGTCTCTCAGTCTCGGTCGTTCTGTCTCTCAGTCTCGGCCTCTCAGTCTCAGTGTCTCAGTCTCGGTCTTTCTGTCTCTCAGTCTCGGCCTCTCAGTCTCAGTCTCTCTGTCTCTCAGTCTCGGCCTCTCAGTCTCTCAGTCTCAGTCTCTCTGTCTCTCAGTCTCGGCCTCTCAGTCTCTCAGTCTCGGTCTCTCAGTCTCGGTCTCTCAGTCTCTGTCTCTCAGTCTCAGTCTCTCGGCCTCTCAGTCTCTCAGTCTCGGTCTCTCAGTCTCGGCCTCTCAGTCTCGGTCTCTCAGTCTCGGCCTCTCAGCTGAGTCTGAGGGTGTGTGTTTGCATGGCCGGTGAGCGTCTTTAGCGGTGTCTCCAGGTTAATAAGCGCCTGCATCTGTCCCGGAGCAGATTAACCCCAGAGAACCCGGCAGCTCCGCACAGAGAGAGACAGAGGCTTAAGGTGCGGATCAATGCCCCGTCATGTGACATCACTTAGGCAAGAGCGGAGAGAGAGAGCAGTGTGCAGACGTCAGAACATGTGCGAGGAAAAAGAGAGGGGGGGAGAGACAGAGATAGAGAGAGAGGGAGAGATATGGGGAGAGAGAGAGAGAGAGAACGAAAGGCACAGAGAGAGGGAGAGGCACAGAGAGAGGGAGAGAGAGACTAGGAGAGGGTGAGAGAGAGGGGGACAGAGAGAGAGATGGGGATAGACAAAGAGAGAGGGAGAGAGTCAGAGGGAGAGAGACAGAGAGGGAGAGAGAGAGGGAGAGACAGAGAGAGAGGGGGAGAGGGAGAGAGAGACAAGGAGAGAGTGAAAAGAGGGAGAGAGAGAGAGAGAGACAGACAGAGAGAGAGAGAGGGAGAGATAGACAGATAGAAGGATAGGAAGAGAGACAGAGAGAAACAGAGAGAGAGAGAGAGAGAGGGGATTGGTCCAGTTCTGTATTGATCTCACATGATCACATGTCTCTCCTGATACAGTCATTCGACAAAGACAGTTGGAGACGTGGCCCCGACTGCACCAAACGTGTTGTTGATGATTGTTTTCTTCGGAATCGTTTTTAATATATGATGACGATGCACTATTTAGGATTTACAATTTTGAAGTAAATTATCCAATCAGAGAGAAGAAAGAGGCTCTGGTTTGGGTTGAGCATTTGTGAAGTGAACTTTAGCTGGTGTTTGCTCTCATCTTTTTTTGTTCATATAAAATTCACAAATAACAAGAAGGAAAATATTCATAAACAATGGAGTTTCTAGCTAAATCCAGCAGTTGGATTTAATCTATAATGGAAAAAAATAGTGAATATATGGATTAATTCTCAAGTCTGTAGGTTTTGTGTGTACAGATCTTGTTATAGCTGCTGGAGTACTTCCAAAGTGTGATCCAGTGCCCCCTGCAGGGCCCCGGAGTCACAGCAGGGGATGACCAGACAACAACAACAACTGAGATTTTGAATGTGAACCCACAAAGATAATTTTACCAACTGAAATCATTCATATTTATCACAATTATTAAGTAAAAATAGAAAAGTACAAAAATATATGTCACTTTCAAATGAATGTACGGCAGGCGAGCACAATGGTAGATGGTATATGCCAGATATGAAGACGAATCCAGCTGGGACCATAACACTGACAAGAGTTTACTCAGCAACAAATCTATAACCAACACCTTTTTCACAAAGATAGAAATCCTGGTTTTATTCCTTGTTTTGTCGTTAATGATTTGAGAATCATAACAAGACCTTTTTTAGTTCTGCGCCACATGGTACTTTACCAGTGAGATTAGCTCCACGCGGTGAGTTCTGGCGCCCGGCTCACAGACACTCTGATTGGTGAAACGGTGGAGGGCGGGACATCGAAATGAAAACAATAACAATATTTAGGGGCTGGAAAAGTAATTTAGAAATTCAAATATCTCTGAATCATCAAGTCATTATTAAAGATTAAGGCCCTTTAATAATGACTTGACATGAAAATCTTACATATTGTTACTTTAAGGACAAAACAAGAAATAAAACAAGAATTTCTATCAAGGCCTTTGTGAAAAAGGTGTTGGTTATAGATTTGTTGTTGACAAAATTCTTGTCCATTCCACTGTTACGGTCCCAGCTGGACTCGTCTGCATATCTGGCAACCTCAGGGAGAGTGCAGTGTCACTTTAGGCCAGACTTTTACATATTGCTCCTTTAAGAGGGCAAACATATCCTGTAAAAGTTAGTGAGGGTGAAGCACGGCGGTGGAGCGGCAGAACTGGGTGACGGCCTCAGACCCACGTTCCACTTTCCTGCTGCAGAGAAAAGAGCGCTGGTCTTTTGTGGTGAATGTAAATGAAGCGCGGTGAGAAAAACAGAGCTGACGGACAGGCTGTTTACGCCGCAACAAAAGTGAAAGCGCGAGGTCTCAGGTCCTCGCTGGGACACACCACGGACACAATGTCCTCGGGCTCCGGACTGAAGACAATGAGGGGAAAGACGGCCGGACGTGCACTGCAAAAACATACGTGTTTAGGATGTGGGGTTGATTAGTAGGTCCTGAGTCTTTTGTTTTAGTGGGGTCTTATTGCCGATGCAGGAGGGGTGGACTCTCTCTGGTCTCTCTCTGGTCTCTTTCTGATCTCTTTCTGATCTCACTGACAGAAAGATCTCATCAGAGATCTCTGTCTCTCTCTGGTCTCCCTCTTGCTTATCTCTTTCTGATCTCTCTCTGGTCTCTCTATGGTTTCTCTCTCTGATCTCTCTCTCATCACCCTGGTCGCTCTCTGATGTCTCTCTCTGGTCTTTCTCTCTGGTATTTCTCTGGTCTCTCTCTCTGGTCTCTCTCTGGTCTCTCTCTCTGGTCTCTCTCTGGTCTCTCTCTCTGGTCTCTCTCTGGTCTCTCTCTGGTCTCTCTCTCTGGTCTCTGTCTCTGGTCTCTCTCTCTGGTCTCTCTCTGATGTCTCTCTCCGGTTTCTCTCTTGTCTCTCTTTGGTCTCTCTGATCTCTCTCTGGTCTCTCTATGGTTTCTCTCTCTGATCTCTCTCTCATCACCCTGGTCTCTCTCTGGTCTCTCTCTGATCTCTCTCTGATTTCTCTCTGATCTCTCTGGTCTCTCTCTGATCTCTCTCTCATCACCCTGGTCGCTCTCTGATCTCTCTCCGGTCTCTCTGATCCCTCTCATATCTCTCTCATCTCTCCTCGGTCTCTTTCTGATCTGGAGAATTGCTGTCATTCCGTCAATAAAGAAAAATGAAAAAATCTTCTGGTATGTTATGGCACAGTATACCATAAACATTAGCAGGAGAGCTAGCTAACATAACCTGTCACACGTTCGCTTAGCATCGCCGTCCGTCAAAAACACATTTTTGACATTCTGCCTTTGAGCCCTGGAACCCCTTTGAGAGACTCTTTATTGTGCAGTGTGTAATGACCATACACCGCACCTTCCTGCTTGTCTTAAAAGCTGCTGAGGGCCCGGGTCATTATTCATGGCTCCTCCAAACAGCTCAAGGTTGTGAAAGAGAAGAGAGTGAGCAATCCAAGTCTCCAACATGCTCCCAGTGCGCGGCAGGGCTGGAGAATACTAATGCAGCCGCCTCCGAGGGCCGGACGCGCTCATGCATATGCAGCACAACAGGTTAAAGGGGAACTAATGCAACCAGTATCCAGTTCACACACACTTAAAGAGAACGTTGAGGTTTTCTAAGTTGGCGTTTATCAGCGTGGAGAAAACTAATGCACCACAGATGCACTTAAGGGGACAGTGGACGAGGCATTAGGGCCGGCATGTCCAAAGCCAAGGCCCGGGAGCCAATTGCAGCCCTCAGTGTCATTTTATGTGGCCCTCTGTCTTGCTAACCCAAAGTAGTCTTCGAGATCAAGTTCACTGTGTCATCCATCCAACTTCAGCTCAGCCATTATAGACATGGAGTGACTACCTGCACCTGTACGTCTGGATATTGGTTCTTGACTTTTTGTGTGCATACTTTACTGATGTAGTTTTTGATTGTGTTACAAACTTCCCTCAATGGTGCTAATATAGCTGGTGAGATGGTAAAATGTCATTCAGCCAACTTCAGCTCTGTTATAGATCATTTTAAAGCTCAGAACAGCCCGATGCCAGTCAAGACAGTTTTTCAGTCTGTGATGTTGTCTCGTAGACTAGTCTGGTGAACTAAAGTGGCCCTCTCATTAAAATGTTTGGACACCCCTGCATTGGGGGTTACGACTGTGTGTCTGGTCATTTTGTTCGCTATAGAGTGACTTGAATCTGCATTTCACCATCATAGATTACTGGAGAGAATCTGAAAGCTGCATATACAGTAAGTAGGACTGGGCGATAAAACGATAACGATATATATCGCGATAGACATGTGTTCGATATCAATAGAGAATGGGGTCGATAGAATGTTCGATAGTTTAACTTAACTCCGTCAGGAAAAACAGGAAGAAAACGCCGGAAGTAAAGCCGACTCATAAGCGCATGGCATTGTGGGGGATGTAGGAAGAGGCTTCTCGACCAATAACAGCCGAGCAGGAACCGCAAAACTTTGTGGGAAATGCAAAAACACCAACAACCG